TCAATTTGAGTTTTTTTCATTTTTTGTGGGAAAGGAGTAGAAGATGCTTATCATGTTTTTGTGCAGTATTCATTTACTTATAATTGTGTGGATGAAAATCTTAGCTTGGTAGGCATTCATGTGAAATTAGGTTCCACAAAGAACTCAGAACTTGGGTTTTGCGAGGAACCCAGGGGGATGAGGACGAGGATGGTGAAGATGATGCCGAGAAAGAAGAAAATGAAGAAATTAAAATTAATGATGATTTAATTATAACACATATAAAAAAAAGTCCAACATTGGATTAATAAATGTGACATAAAGTTCTGGGTTTCTGGTTCCATGAGGAACCTAGGAGGATGAAGAGGAAGATGGTAAAGATGATGCGGGAAAGAAGAAAATGAAAAAATTAAAATTAATTATGGTTTAATTATCCCATATCATCAAAAAAAAAAATCCACATTGGATTATGTTACTGTTTAATGTCACGTATTATAATTTTTAACGGTTATTAACGGTACCGTGACGGCCCGTTAAAATATTGGATTTTTTACGAGTTTTGAAAAGTGGAAGGTGTGAATAGGGAGGGAAAATTCTGGAAGGTGTTGACTGCAAAAAAAAAAATTAAATGGAAGGTGCAAATAGGGGCTTTGGCCATAATTTATTAGTTTGAGTGAACAAAAATTAATTTTTTAAAATAAAATTTTAAAATGAAAATTTATAAAAAGAAAATCAAACACTAAACAAATTAATTTTTTAATAAATCTAGCGCAATTTAATTTAAGATTAATTGGATTAAAAAAATTATCGAATATTAAAAAATTAATAAAAAAATAAAAAAAAGGTTTGCGTAGGCCATGATGCAAATGCGCGCCTGTGGTTTTTCTTTTGTGAGCAGAAAATGCCCAATTTTCATTATTGGAGCTAAACCAGGAGCTTTCAATGCACACGGCTCCCCGTTGAAAACGTTACAAAAACTCACTTTTAACTTCTTATTTTATTAAATTTAAAAGTTTTAATCACTTACTTTATATTATAATATTTTTAATCTTTTATTTTACTAGATTTATAAGTTTTAACTTTTTATCTATTAAAATTAAAAAAAAAAACATCAATTTAGACTAATTATTAATTCTGTTAACTAAAAATAAATGTTTATCAATTAATAGTCAACTAATAATCAATTAACAGAATTAATGAAATATTATAAAATTAGTTCTGTTAACTCTATTAATTGAAAAAAAGTTTTTAACAGCCAACAATTAGTTAATATAATTAACAATCAGTTAACAGAATTAACAAAATGTTACAAAGTGATGACTATTTTTTTCAATTTTAATAGATGAAGAACTAAAAGTGTTATAGTATAAAGGGAGAGATTAAAACCTTTAAATTTAACAAGATAAGAAATTAAAAGTAAGGTTTTACCTGAAAATGTTAACCAAACCGGCTCTGCTTCTGCAATTGCCACGGTAAAAGAAAGAATAATTCATTTCGTCTTAGGAAAGTTGGTAGTCATAAAATTCTTGTTCATTGCTTGCTTTACTGACTTTTGAGTATTTTTCATTGCTATGAATCAACATTTCAAGTTTCAACCCGTTTTTTTTCTTCCAATGGAATTTACCCAATTTAAAAAAATAATAATGGATGCAAGAAAACTTTGTTGAAAGTGTGTACTGCATGCTGTATTGAATGTTCATACATGCCCAAACAAATTATGAATTTGAATATTTAAAATTTAAATCATATTGTTCTTGTTATTTATGGCTTGGATGTTGGATCAGTATTTATGATTCTAATGAAATCTTACCTCATCATTAATAAACTATTATTTGAGTTTTGTCGAGTTTAAGTTTGATTCAATTTAATATTAGTATCATGTTTTATGAATGAAAATCTTTTTATACTCCAATAAATAATAGTATTGTTACCTTTCTAAAAAAAAAGTTTACGAGTGTCCACGACGTAAATAATTCAATGGTTATCTCTTTCTGTTAAAAGTAAAAAATTATGAGTTCGAATCGCATGACATGCGAGTAGGGTGAAATAAGAGATAAGAGATTATTGCTCTCATTGTGTAACAAAAAAAAAAAAAGTTTACCATTGGTATGTTATAATTTGTAATTTGATAGAATTGTCAAGTATATATAGTCCTAATTAATCAGATTGATTGAAATGTATTTGAATTATGTTACCCATTTAACTAAGTCATTTAGAATATAAATATATGTAAATATAAGAATTTTAACTCCCTCTTGGCCCTATAAATTTGCAGTTCATAGAAAACATTACAAGGGCAGGACAGTAGCAGCAGCAGCATTAGCAATGGCAGCCCCAACAAAGCCACTAGTTTCTGATCTTGTCTCAAGTATAAGCTCTCTCCCTGCAAATTATGTTCGTCCAGATTGCGATCGTCCCAATCTCAGTGAGGTTACTCTTGATTACTCCATTCCTCTCATTGATCTCCAAGGCCTGCATGGCCCTGACCATTCCAAAGTAATCAAAGAGATAGCTGAGGCCTGCAAATACTATGGCTTCTTTCAGGTACATTATCCATTTCACATACATAAAATGCATCTCCAATTACATTAGGTTGATTTTTTTAATCCTGTGAAGGTTAAGAACCATGGAGTTCCAAAAGAGGTGATTGACAAGATGTTGAGTATATCAAGGGAATTCTTCCACTTACCGGTGAGTGAGAGGATGAAGAATTACTCCGATGATCCTATGAAAATGACGAGACTCTCCACCAGTTTCAATGTGAAAACTGAGAAAGTATCCAATTGGAGGGATTACTTGAGACTCCATTGCTTCCCTTTAGAGGATTACATTCATGAATGGCCAACCAACCCTCCATCTTTCAGGTAGAATATTTAGTTAGGATATTGTTTATTAACAAGATTTTATGTAATCTCTGGTCCTCTTCATACAGAGAGGATGTTGGGAAGTACTGCAAGAATGCTAGAGAGCTGGCTCTGAGGCTACTTGACGCAATATCTGAGAGCTTAGGCCTAGAAAGGGATTACATGAACTCTGCCCTGGGAAAGCATGGACAGCACTTGGCTATCAACTTCTACCCGCCATGTCCCCAGCCAGAGCTCACCTATGGTCTGCCTGGTCATGCCGATCCAAATGTTATCACCATTCTCCTTCAAGATGATGTGCCTGGTTTGCAGGTACTCAAAGAAGGCAAGTGGATTGCGGTGAACCCCATTCCTTACACCTTTATTGTCAACCTTGGCGACCAAATTCAGGTCAGAAGAACAAATTCAATTTTTCTTATTCTCATATTATTCGCTCCTTGCACCTTATCTCCCCTTCTTTTTTTTTTTTTTTTTCAATTTTATGGACCCCTTTTTTTTATATGGCATGTAACATTAGCAGCACCAAATAAATGTGAGAGTGATAGGTTTTAAACATACTAGTAGGATTTTCTATTAAGAATCAATGAAGTTCTAACAAATCCCAAATTTAAATCTTCCGTCTGAAATTGTTTATGACAGCCATTTCTTTTGACTTCGTATACTTTGTTTTTATTCATTTTCTATCACAAGAATAGACCTCCACCAATAAGTCATGGCCCAAGTGGTCACTTAATCATTGGTTAAAGGGCATTTTATCTTGGATGTAGAGTTCAATCCTCATTCTTTCTTGCATTCTCCTGCTGTGATTGTGACTATTATTATTTAAAACGGCAATCGGTGGATTGCATCCTTATTCAAGTTCAATACCTTCTATTAATAATTCTAACATTATTAATCTCTAACCCGCACTTGTCAAAAAAAAAAATAAAAAAAAAGACCTCCACCAATTGGCTGCAAAGGCCGTGCTGGGCCGGGCAGGGGTATTAGTTAGAGTTTGAATTTTCTTGATCAATATGCGGCCAGTTTCGGCTGCAACTAAAATATCCTCTTTTCATTTACTTTTAATAAATTTAATTTAATTTTTTAATTTTTTAAATATAAATTTTTATTAATATATTATATAAATAATAATTAATTTTTTTAAAATTAAATAAAAATACTTAATAATAATTTCATATTAAAAAAATTTCAATTATTATTCATATAAATTTTTAAATTTATATTTAAAAAATCAAACTAACTTTATTTAAAAAATATATAATTTGACAAATTCTGTCCTTTTTCCTTATCCAGTTCTAGACAAATTTATTTGGAACAGAACAAGCTTGATAGTTGTATATGGGAAATGGATGTACTGTAATCGAGAAGGCTCCTTGAATTTCTCAGGTACTTAGCAATGATTGTTACAAGAGTGTGTTGCACAGGGCAGTAGTGAATTGCAGCAAAGAGAGGATCTCTATCCCGACGTTCTATTGCCCATCACCGGATGCAGTGATAGGACCAGCCCCGCAGCTTATAGATGATGATCATCCTCCCCTCTATAGAAACTATTCATACAGTGAATATTACCAGAAATTCTGGAACAGAGGGCTTAACTCCGAAACATGTTTGGACATGTTTAAGAATTAATAACTTCATAAATCCTAAAGAACCATGAACTGCTGCTTTTCGACAGAT